AAAAAAAAAAAAAAACGAAAGAAAAAGAAAAGAGGAACAAAAGAAAAAAGAAACGAAACGAAAAGACACGAGAAAGGAAAGGAAATTAAAGCTTTTATGTGTGCATAACTTCTTGTTTTACCTCTACTTCCTTGGCTTTCTCTTCACTAGCAAAATTCTCTGTTGTAGACTGCAGAAAAAAGTTGATTACGCGTTACTTACAAAAATCACTTATCATTTGGCATGGACTGTCTTTGGCATGTAAAGAACTAATTGCCTCAAAAAAAGGTTGAGGGGGAAACTGAGTCAAATTGGCATTGCATTGCATTGTGGGGTCATGTTGTTTTGGGAACATATTTCCAGGTGGCGTCTATTTCGTCTCCTAACAGCACTGCGATGCCAACTGGACTAATTTTCCCCCCTGAACCTCGTAAAGGTTAATATTTGCGAATCACAGATCATTAAACAGCATTTTACATTCTGCTGCTACACTTCCCAAGTCAAAATAGCAAAAAGTCTGACTAGCCTTATGGCTAATATCTTGAATTTTTTTCCCGGTGGTGTTTAGCGATGACAAATTTTTCCACATACCTTGACAAGTCGTGACAGGAGGAAGCCTCCCTCGTAACGTTCGTTAAACATACTCCAGTTATCCTTCACGAATTGCCAGGCAAGCTCCCTTCCAGTCACACTGATATTTTAGAGGAAAAAATGAGGAAAAAATACAGTTAAGGAAGTTGATCAAAGTGAAATAGATGAATAAATAGATGTGGCGATAAGTAGATATGTAAGTCAGTGTATAAACAATAAGTAGTTAGATACTAGGTGGGTAGATAGGTGGGTGGGTTGGTGGGTTGTCGATAAGAAAGAAGGGGGCAGGCAGGCTAGACGTAGGTGGTAAGTTGAGCAGGTAGGTAGGTAGGTGGTTATGGTAGGTAGGCAAAAGTGGATCCAGGGATGGTGAGGGAGTAGTGGAGGGGGGACTTGTCACCTTTGCTCCATAAAAATAACCTTTCACTCAACTTCTTTTTCTATCAATTTGAGATGCAAATTCCCCCCCTCTTTTATGGACTTTCAGTGGTATTGGCTCAAAATACCCTGTAACAGTCATGGCTCTTTTAAAAATCCAGGATCCACCACTGGTAAGCAAGCAAGCAAGCAAGCAAGCAAGCAAGCAAGCAA